TATATCATTGTGAAATTAATCAAATAAAAAAATACTTAATATTGTGAATTTAAATGCTTTTTTCTTAAACGAAATTATTATATTGAATTTAATATATAACAAGTCTAAGCGATGATTGTAGCAAAACTTCGGCAAGTCAAATTAATTGGTCATTGTGATGACAATTATTTTATGTTTCTTTTAATTATTGTTTGAATTAATTATACAAATTTCCCTTAAAAATATCTAACAAACATGTGAATCTCATTTTTAAATTTTGAACTTACGTTATCTTGTGTTTTTTTTCCTAACTAGCAACACATACAGATCTCTCTTACTTTAATTATTAATATACAAAAAGCTCTTATATGTTAACTTGGCCCATGACCATGTTAAAAATTACAATGAAATGACAAAAATATTCTCAAATTAACAGGATTTTAAGCTTAACACCAGCTCAATGAGAGCCCTAAATTACTTGCCTGAAATCCCGTTATTTTCAAAACTTAAGAGGTATATGGAAGAAAGAATGAATAGGGAGTGAAACAAATAATGAAATGACTTTTGTTGCTCAAATAAGAAACACTAATGCTAAGAACATATATTAGAAATACATAATAGATCACAAAAAGTGTATTGACAAATTGAAATTTATTTTGAATGCTGGCCCATCATAACTAGGTTTAACCCTAACCATCTATTGCATTTTTTGTAAATTATTTGGTGATCCATTATATGTTCCTAACATTGCTCGAGAGGAAATATAAAAAAACTCCAACTCATGGGGTCCCAAGTACTAAAGATTTTAACAGTTTATTCCAATCAATCTGGTGTAACCAACTTCAAATAGGAAACTCCAAGGCCACTGCTTATAAAAATTGACGGCAAGCATGAAAATGAAGACAGATCAACACTTTCTTGCAATATCATTCTTTCTTTATTTCAGTTCATACCACTAGTATATAAACAATGGAAATCTAAAGACCTACTCAACCCACAATACAATCACAAATCAATGAAAAGAATAGTCCTTTGGTATACCAACCCTTCAAATCCCCCAAAGAATGGCACCTCTAAAATCTACAATCCTAAAACCAAGTGTATATATATCAAACCCCCTCCAATCTATCTATTACTTTCCTCTCAACAAGCAATTTAATCAGAAGCTCAGATGAATCAACTTTGGCTCCATAGTATATCAGCATAAGCTTTCTCATCTTCCCGCTCCTTCGCGACATAATCAGTTGCCTCCAATACTTCCTCTTCTTCATCTGGGATCTCTTCTTCCGTCAATTCTCCAGATGCAATTGCTTCCAGAGATATCTCTCTCTCCCATTCAGCCAATGCTTCTCTCATAGCCTGTTTTGTTGCTGGTGTGTCACTGGGTCTGTATTTCGGAGCAGGCACAACAAATGGCAATATGATATCATCCAAACTCCTACTCTTATGGTTGGGACTACCGTTTGCATCTGATGGTGGAACGATGAAAACGATACCAAGCTCGTAGTTACAGACGTGAAGTCTTGAACCCAATACAGAATTTGTCTTCACAGCTCCAACAGCCTTTGTCCTGAGTGAATTAGAAATTGGGTGTCCCCAAGCAGCGGCACTGAAGTTATGGGACCCAGAATACACCCATCCAAAGGATGAAGCATCCTTCTTAGACTGGAAGCGTCTTCTGGCTACCTGCTTTTACCATACATTCTCTCCTCTATTATCTTTCAACTACCAGCAATTTTCAAAAACATAAATTGAAATAGAAATGACAACTAGGGAGATGTTTTAAAGCACAAGAGTACATAATGTGGCTTAAATTGTAACTTCACATAATACTAGGACATAGCAACACAAAAAATACGGATTTTAGGGAAGAACATTCTTCCCATACGTCTATCATATAAAATTATTGTAAGACTACTCAGATACATCATATGGTGTGCAAATCTTTGAGATCATGATCATTCATGTATACATGAAAACCTAGGCATGATCTTGGGCACAAATTGAAAATCTCTTCCATATTCAATTCAATGTTGACACTTGGAAAATGAGAAGAAAAAAAAGAAGAGAATAAAAGTGACAAGCATCATGGAGAAATTAGGGCAAGGAAGCAGCACTACAGATTGGAACTTCCTATGCAAGAAGAGGAAGGAACATATATATACACACAGCTAGCACGTCTGGAAATTGTCCAGGTAAATAAAATAAGCCTTAAGACTCCTCAAAAGTAGAGTCACGTTCCTAGTGTCCTTAATTGTAGCCACGTGAAGAATTTTATAAGTAAAGACAATTAAAGATTGATAGAATTGAGTTGCTACGGGACTGTGGTTTAAATATGATGTTTGTATGCAGAGTATATATATATATATATGGCTAAAGTAACTAAAATTCATCAACTAAAAATGAAAGGGAAAACCCAATACAAAAAGGGAAGGAGGTTACACCATAATAACCTCCAAAGACCAGAATGGACAACTCCTATACATATGCCAAAAAGCCTTAGGATTCTTACAAGACAGAATTTATAAAGTCAAAAAGAGTGTCTATGGAAGGCAAAACCCTCCCAAAAGACCAGCAATATAAAATGGACAAGAAAAAACCCTTGATTCTATGCAGAGGTTCCTCAACACCTTTGAATATTCTTTGATTACGCTCCAAATAAGTAAGCTATATCAAGCAAAATTTTGAATGTAAAGGCCTTGTCAGATCAATTCAAAAAATTTGGATGTCAAAATTTATGCTTTTAGTTCAGGTGATAGCTTTGTAGCAGAACAGTCATGGTCATTGGTTAACAAAGAATTGTAATTTTCCCTTCTTTTGTGGGTTGGGTTCTGCCTTCTTGCCACTGCAACTTCTCTCTGGAAGTTAATTTCAATGCAAGGTCAATTTGTATTAGCAATTTGGAGGGTGATTAACAGGCTATTTGTCAGAAGGCAGAGAACTCTTGATGCAATGTCAAATAAAAGAAAGAAAACACTTAGAAAGACTCTCTTTAAAACAGAGTTTGCATTTTGCCCAAGTGGTTGTGGATTTTGTAAAACAAAGAAGGGTTTCTGGACAAGGGTCTGGATGATTTAGTAATGAGAGAAGTGATTGAATTCATAGGATGTTAAAAATATCATGAGATGGTAATCCAGCAGAATCCTCAGAAGTTGGACGCTCCACACATGTGATGTATGTTTCAATGTGAAATGGCTACCTAACACATAAGTTCATAGGAATTGAGCTGAGATCCATTATGATTGTCATTTGAATCAAATAATCGCCGTTCCAGAACAGAATGTTAGATTTCCATCTCATAAGGTAAGTTTTCCATTTGGCCTCTTTTTTTTTAAAGGTGACAAGGGTACATGACATCCTGGTACCAAGATCTCTTCAGCAATGTGAATAAGACTGCATTCACCCTAGGTGTACATCTGCGAATACAACCGTTTAGAATGGCAGGGGAATCCATAAGAAATAGAAGAATGCACTCAACTTCACGAAATAAACTTAATATGGCTTTGGATCACTTATTCTTGCATTGCCATGTGGCTTTGATCTATAACATCATCTCTTTCGTTTGGTTGATGTCCAATGGGTGGCTCTGGGAACTTGTCTAGTAATGATTTCAATGGATTTTCCAGAATTTGGAGGTATGATGAAAGCAAAAGTGATGTGGCATTGTGTTTTGGGGGTTTTGGTTGGAAACGAATGCAAGGATCTTTGAGGAAAAATTTGATGATACGGCATCCATGTGGGAAGAGGTGGTTTTTTGGCATCGCTTTGGACTTCCATTGTTTTGGTTTAGAGATTGATGTTTTCTCTTCTATTGTAGAGGACATCTTGCCCTCTTTTTGTACTCTTTCCTTTTTAATAAAATTTCCTTTTGTTGCCGATCAGGAAAAAAAAAAGAAAGAAAAAAGAGAAAGGAATCTTGGAAGAGACAGACTTCAGAACAATAGGGTGGGAATGTGTTTACCTTGACATGCATGGGATGATTAACTCTGTTGTTGGGATAAGGAATCGCATCATGAAGCATGCCTACGTTTCTCAACCTTTGCCATGTTTTCTGTAAAAAAAAACAGCATCCAGTAAATTACGTGTTAAGAGGAAAATAGAAATAAAAAATAGACAATTGATTATTAAACAAGATTAAATGAGCGAGTCTTCACTAAGATAATAATGGAGAAGTCACAGCTGCAAAAAAAAAAAAAAAAAAAACTTTTTTTTCTTCATTTTTTTTAAAAAAAAAAAACCTAACAATGTAAACAAATGCAAAAAAAATAAAAATTAAAAGTATTTGGTTAAAAATCAACTTTTTCATAAAATAAACAGTATTTTTTTTGAAAATGTCTAATAGAATTAGTAAAAGTCAATTTTACCCTTTGTACTTTGAGGGATTTTACTGTGTCTCTTTGGTTATATTAACAAAAGTTTCACAACATTATAAGAGTAGGGTTGGATTTTTCTCAAGTTGTTATCTCAATATGAGATAGTGTTTGAGTTTAATAGGTCCATTTTGAGACCGATTTCGGTGATCCGAACTATTCAATTTTTAAGACTAACGAGTAGAATATTCATGTAAAAAAATCAAAATCATCGGATATCGTTAACTATATGTTTGAATTAAATTTTTTTTTTAAAAATGGACGACAAATATAATTGCAAGAATAACCATTCACTTTTTGTAATACAAATTTGATTCAAACATATAGCTACTGATATTCGACCATCTTGATTTTTTGCTTAAATATTCTACTCAACGAGTCTTAAAAATTGAATGACTTGAATCATAGATATTGGTTCCAAAATAGACCTACCAAGCTCAAACGCTATTTCAAATTGAGATGACCAACTTGAGAAAAGCCAAACCTTTTTCACCGAAAGGTAAAAATTTAAAAAGACTTGGAAAAACCATGCTCTCACGTGTCTTCCCAATATAACGTAATGTGATTTTAGTTTTCCGATACTATTATTTATTGATACTATCCATTATTCTTCGATATCAATCTATTTATAACCGTTTGATATCAATATATATTTCAATACCATTATTTATTTAAAACCATGCTCTCACCTGTCTTCCCAATCAGATATAGCTCTTGAATCATCTTCTTGGATTGCAGAATCATCTTCTTGGATTGCACAAGTTGTTCTGATTCTGATGATAGCCACTCATTCACTCACTCATTCAGTTTGATGCATTAAATGTTTCAATAGCCAATAATAAATACAAGATATGGTGTGAAGCAAGCACATCATGTGTTTCTGTTTCCAAGCATTAATTCACTGTTAGGTTTGCATAGGGATGATGTTGTGAAGTCACCGTCACATTTGATCTGATCTTCACCCATCCTTACATGATTGATTGGTTTGGATAAAAAGAAAAAATTAGAATTAAAATAGTTATTCAATGTTCCTGAGACATGTTTAAAAAAATTATAAAAAGATTATAATTAATAAATACTTTAAGAAAATAAATACCATAAAAGAGTGATTGTATATTTAATTTGTAACACGATCACATGATATTCCTAAAATTGTGAAGGGAGAGAACATTATTTGATTGTGCTAAGGTTTAAATTGAGGTCATGACCATTGTACATGAGCAACTTTTGTGGGAGAACTTTGTCTTTGTCTACCTCTACAATGTAACTCATTAAGTCTCAAGTAACATTTAAACGATTAATAGGTTTTAATAGTTGGATTTAATTTTTATCAAATCCTATTGAAAATAAGTTATAGTAAAATCGTTACTAAAAATAATTTTTTGCATATGTCGCAAAAAATTGATACCCAATTCAAGCAATCCAACCTTCACCCACAGGCATTCAGGCAGTTATATCACCTAAGCAATTAGCCTCATGGAAAGCATGCTGTCATGTTAACATTCACACTCATGCGAGATGCTAAAGCATAAACACTTACAGTGTACTCCGAGCCAAAACAAGAAACTAGTTAGTAATCATGCATGATCCTAGTTCATGTTAGGATGGCTAATGTAACACATGCAAAATGCAACTAGAAATAGGCTCGGCTATTCTAAGATGTCATGTAAAATGCAACTTGATACATGTATTCAAATTGAAATTGAAATACAATGCAGTTAGCATGATGCGCCGAGCCCGGTGCATGCAAGACATATGAATGAATGCAAACATGCGAGTATAAGTATGCTAATTAAAACATGTCCTAAACTAACCATCAAAGCAGGTAAGTAAAAGGGAGAAAGACGTGGGGTTGGAAGACATGCATCACACACACGCACACTTATTACAACATTGCCCTCTCTCGGAGGGTCCGAAAGAATAATACAAATTAACTAACTAACAAGCTAATTAAATATTACAAAACCGTAATTAATTAACAAATTAATTAAACTACTAAAGCAGTAAAGCTTCCTCGGAAAGAGGGTCAAATGCTTGCATGCTCGAATCGCCTCGCTCAGAAATCTGTCACCATGCCACATGTTGCCTCTGTTTACACTGCTCTACACCTCTGAAGACTGCACAAGTCCTAAGGCTGCTTCTGGACCACCTTCTAAGCATTGTGGAAGGCCAACGGCCAAGAGGAATAGTCACCGGCCATGGAAAGGTGGTCATCGACCAGTTGTATAGCTCTCGGCCAGAAATGAAAAGCCGGCCGGCACTGAATGTGGTCGGTCGGCCAACTCTTCCTGCAGAATCCTGTTTTGCAGCAGCAGAGGGCAAACAGAGTATGGCAATGCATTTTCAAAGCAATGTGTGCACGACCACCCTTCTTATCATGTTATGAACTCAATGGAGGATGGTCCTCGACCCTCGGGCCACTAATCACGCATTTTCATGCATGATGGCCAAAGAGTCAAGTGTGCAACTCAATATGGAATGAAATGCACAAAATACATAAAGGGCCCTAACCTCTATCATGATTGATCAAGAGGCAAGAGATGCACACACAATGCAATGCAACCTAGGCAAGCAAGCAAGCATGCAAGCATGCAAATAACTTAAGTGTGCAACAAATCTAATGCAACATGAGCATGTTAACATGCAATATGCAATAGGCATACAACCTAAACATGTGGACATGTATAGCATGCAACAATATGCAAAATGAAACAAACATGCAACAACATGGTAAGATGGACTTACACTAACATGGGTAGCTCTCAAGCATGCCAAAATCAGTGGCCAAAAATGATGGAATCAAGGCACCAAAACTCATGCAAACATGCACAATGCAATGGCCCCGTGACTAAGGCACAAAATGTAACTCTCCAAGAGCATGGCAAGGATGAAACATGAGGTATAATGGTATACACTCCAGCTCTGAAATAGCATACAAAATGACTCCGAAATGATGCAACGACTCGTGCAATGCATGTAGGAAGGCTCAAATACCGAAACTAGTGAATCACATTACACTAGAGGTATGCAAAGCAATGCACAAATGATGAAACCAACTCCTAATAGACCTCATGCAGTCCCTAAACAGTGGCAAAGTGAGCTAAAATGAGGGCTTGACATGCACCAAAATGAAGCTCATGCAAAGGCTCATAAACAAGGCATAATGACGCAACTCTCAAACGCATCGAAGGCATGCTAAACATGAGAATATGGCACACATATAAGCTCTGAAATAACATTCCCTATGATACCAAAACATGCAAACACCTCAAGCAACGCACGCAAGGGGCTTCAAAACTCAAAGGTAAGCAAGGCTATTACACTACAACCATGCATGGCAAGCACCAATCGACCAAGAGGCCTAAAAACAGAGCTAAGACAGCCCAAAATATGAACAAAACATGTTTGAAACGTGGCCAAAATATGCTAGAATGGAGGGCCAAAACAACATTCAATGTGAGCTAGTAAGCATGGTTTACACTACAAGCATGTGAAGCAAATGAGGGACCACCAAACCAGACAAAAACAGATTCATGGCATGCCAAAATATGACTAAAAATCCACTGAAACATAGTCAACACATGCTAGAATGGGGAGCTCCTTTAATAAGCCAAGAAAGAGGTTACTCTACACATGCAAGAAGCAAACAAAATGGGACCAAACCAGCCATGGACAGAGGCTAGGCAGATCCTAAGAGTCACCAAAAAGGGTCTGAACCAAGCTTAGGATGCATGCAAATATGGGCTCCTTTGTAAGGCCAAAAATGCAAGTAAACAAGACGACAATGAGAGGGGATGACCCTCTCCTTCTTAGGACCTCAAAACACCATCCCCACCACTTAAATTCCTTTGGATTTCAATAGTGAGAAGGACAATACAATGTGGTCCCGAAGCTCACAAAAAAGGCACAAAAAAGAGGCCAAACAAGGCCTGAGAGGGGGTAAACAACCCCAAATACAAAAGTGACCTTAAACAAAGATCAAAAGTATGCAAAATCAGAACTTTTCTTAGTTTATAGCTAAGCTCAAAACAGCATGCAAGACAGGCTAAAATCTCGTGCAAAAACAGGAAATAAAAGAGGAAAAAGGAGTTATCCTTGTAGCCAAAGGGACCAGCAGCTTCTGGACCAAAACAACAAGCCTTCAACCTCTGAAAACCAGCTCCAAGGTGCTTAGATGGATGATGGAGAGGTTAGGTTAGGAGGTGTAATGCAATGGGGCCAAGAACCTTACACTTTCAAGGCCAAATGTGAGTGATATAAAGGGAGAGTGTATATATGCCTTGGCCAAAAATCTGAACCTTTGCTAATGAGGGAGAGGCTTCCTTTTATAGAAGAAGAGGTCCAAAGCTTCTCAAAGAAGCTTGGAGCAAAGGGACCAAGCTTCTTAAAGAAACTAAAGCAAAAAGGGTCAAGCTTCTTGAGGAAGCTATAACAAAGGGGTTATAGCCTCCTCAAGAAGCTATGAAAGGTTCAAGCTTCTTGGAGAAGCTAGGCAAAGGTTCAAAAGGGTCAAGCCTCCCCCAAGAAGTTAAATCAAAGGTTCAAAAGGGTCAAGCTTCCCACAAGAAGCTAAACCAAAGGTTCAGAAGGGTCAAGTCTCCCTAAGAAAAGGTCTCGGCTAGAAAAAGTGGCCGATTGATCAAAAAAATGGCCGGCCGACCAAAAATAATGCCGACTGGCCAACACCTTTGGCCGGTAGCAAGAAAACAGGGCCGGTTGTCTCAGGCCATGGCCGGTGAGGTGT